TGGCAAGTATTTTAAGTAATGATCTATAACTCAAGGATTGGCATGGTGTGAGGAAACTGGTTTTGTATACTACTGGTGGGAATATGACTGGTTAATCTTCCTGGGCCACATGACAATGAACAAGGATCCAACACCATCCACCCAGCCTGTCTCCCTCCGCTTCATCTAGAAACCGCGCTGGGGACACATTTGTGCATATGGGGACACATAGATGATGGTGTTCATTTCCTTTCATTCACAGCATTATTTGTGAAAACTCAAAACCCATTTCTTTATCAAGAGAATGGTCATGAGTAGTTGATTACAAACCAGTACTACCACAGGGCAAGCTTTAGGAAGAGCCCAGAAGCCTGAACACACCAATTCCAGACAATGTCTATAATATGGTCAGAGAGGAGAAAGCAATTTGTAAGACAATATGATTAGCACAGGCCCAGTTTGGTCATCTCTACAAATGTGTGTTTTCATTCACATGTACCTAAACTGACACTTCTGACATCCGGGGCTAGAACACTAACTGTGGAGTAGTTCTTGAGGGCCCTTTAGGATGTACATGTATTCTCCATTGGCGTCCAGTTTTCAAAAGTGATTCATTAACATGTCACCACAGGAAATATATGTAGAGCACAAATAAGAGCATCCAAGATGATCAAGAGGGATACATCACTGCTCATAATGAGAGCTGGGGTGGGGAGAGTCAAGAAACAAAAGCCAAAGAAAAAGGTCACCCTATTTATCAAATTACAAAATATTAAAAATAAAATAAAATCTGAGAAACTCAAGAAGTTGGGAGTATTTGACACAGCTACAGAATTCACCATCCCAATATTAGCTTAACCGAAAAAGGGGAAGTAGCAGGAAGCAGTTGGTGGAGGCCATGGATAGCTCTTCCTTAGTCAGTTATGAAAGGGAGAGCTCATGAGCTTCTCCTTGGCCTCAGGTGCCCCCCACCCCCTGCCAGCTCCACCCCAATAAGAGTCCCGCTCCTTGGTGACCGAGGGAAGACATGGCCGGGGTGAGATGGTGAGAGGGGAGTGCGGGAACTGTGAGTCTGATTAAAGCTTATAAATGTAATCTGTCCTGTGTGGGGAATGCAGAACGTCTCTCCAAGTCTTCCTGGCACGCTCTGGAAGCCCACAATTACAGCCCGCTCCGGACTCCTGTTTCCAGGGTACTGGGTCTTCCAGGTGGCCGAAGGCCATGATTTCTGCTGGAAGACAGAACTCATTCAAGGGCGCCTGAAGCAATAAAATGCCAGAGACTGGAGCCCAAGGCTGCTGAGGTGTCTGTCTGCCAAGACGGGTTGTCCTCGAAACCCGAGTGGGCAGAAGGTCATCCCACAACTGGCCTCCTGGAAATGAGAGGAGAAATGAGATGCTTCTAACAGCGAGTGAAAGGAGGTATTCTTGTCTGTTCAACAGCAGAAAAAAAATGATCTGTGGTGTGGAAAGTTGGGACAGCGGTGGGTGGGAGCAGTGTTGGGTTCCCTGGGATGTTAGGGTGTTGGGTACTCTATTTCCTGATCTGAACCCCAGTCCCTCAGGTGTGTTTACTTCATGAAAATGCACAGAACTCTGCATCTGTCATCTGTGCACAGCCAATTCAAGTTTCTAAAACAATATTTACTTGAGAAAAAATAAAGGATCCCATTGTTTGATCAGCACAGCTGACTCTCAGGCAAGGTCTCTGTCATTCCCAGCTGACTGCCTCCTTCCTTACAGCTACAGCCTGAGCCACTAATGGAGTCCACAGTCCAAGTCACCCAATCATGTGCCACAGCTCATGATGTGTGGATCTGGTGGGGACAAGCAGCCTGTGCAAAGGAATGGCATGTTCAGGATGTATTTTTAATCGATTCGCTCATTTTCCCCAACACTCAAAACAGTCTGACTCTGAACACCCGAAATGGCATCAGCCACACCCTGATAAACCCCAAGCATGCAGACATCTCAAGCCTGGCGCGAGGCCCCCATTCCACTGAAGCAAGCTGAATCAAACTTCAGGGGACATTCAGAAAGGTCGGGGGTGGGAGGGTGTTCCATTTCATTCCAAAATGAATCCAAATGACAGGTGGGGACGCCCCTCCTAGAGGTGAGCTTCATCTCCAGCTACAGCCAAGCTCAGGCCTCAAGCCTTCCGGGGGCAACACTTGCTCATCCTGAATCTTTTGGGGGTTCACTGAACTTTTCCATGGGGTGAATTTGGAAGTTCTCCTTCTGTTAAATAAATTTTGTTGTTGTTGTCTTTGGCAAACATACACCATACACACACGTGCATGCATACACACACACACACACACACACACACACACAAAGTAAAGTTGACAATGAACTACATAGAGAGAAAAGCCATCTGTCATGGTTTACAGGCAATGAACCCACAGATTGGGCGAACGATCCCTGATCCTACCTGAAGCTGAGTCACAAGTCTAACAGGGCTTGTTCCTCCTCTCTTGTCACAATGACTCCTTCCAAAAGGCAGTGTCCAGCCATCACTGCTGCCCAGAGGCTCAACAAGAGGAGCTTCAACTCCAGGAAGAGGCTGAGCTCAGCTGGGCAGCCAGGCTTCCAGAGGGGTGTCGCTCATCAAAGGGCAGAGAAGGCTACCCACGCAAGGGAGTCTTGGACATCCCTACAGGTACCGGTCACTTCACCGGCCACTCCTGCTCCTGGACACAA